CACTCCTGCTTCCAAGCTGGTTTTAATCGGGAAGCTCCACCAAACACTGTCCACCCCGGGTAACAATTATCACATTTGACATGTCAGTGTCACAGTGTTTGACATCACAGCAACCACAAGTTACCTCTGTACAGCAAATGGACAGACCAGTGCTATACCATTTAGAGGAATGTTTGACCAAAAACAACTAAAAGCAGGCCTGAGGGACACAGATTAAAATCACCCACCTTAGGCTTGGTAGCATCACTTTCTATCCACAAGGCCAACAGAGCTATGAACAGATCAATAAAGGAGTATGTCTTGAATGCTTTGTGGATGTGTAGTATGAGGTGTCACTGAGCCCTGTCAATGTGTAGAAGACACACACCTAGAATGACTGCATTCACTTCCCCGTGTGCACCGTGTATAGGAGTTGGTAAGGACCAGCAAGAAAACAAAGCCAATTGTCTCAGTACCCCATCCTCTCTCCTTTACCCTAGGGAGGAAGGGCCCATGCTGTGGATTTATGGAGAACGTGCCCTAGAGGTGGGGAGCCCTATGTGGTGCAATTAAGTGCTTTAATACCCAAAATATTGACAGTTCAAACCCACCTGGAAGATAATCCTAGTGACTACATCCAAAAGCTCACGGCCTAGAAAACTCCAGGGAGAAGCTCTACTCAGTACCTGGTACCTGTGGAGTTGCCTTGAGATGGAATCAATTTGAAGTAGGCTAACAACTACAGCACCAGAAGTAGAAGGATTAGAGTAACTGTTGAGGAAGGTAGAGAGGTGCAGGTCTTGTGGGGGAGGGAGAATGTGCCCCGACTGGCTGAGAAAGAGGTTGATGAGAGGCTGAACTCCACCAAGTGAAAGATCCCCTCCAACCCAAGCCTGGTACGGCCGTTACTGTGCCCTCTCTCCTTCAAGGGGCTGTGAAAGTGTGGAGGGAGAGCCATGCACCAGTGAGCCACAGGGCAGCGCCCAGGGGACCCTCCCAGAGGTACAGGCCAGTTAAGGAGGGTGGACTTCCCCTGCAGCCAGAGGGACGTGAGCCTGGAGTAGATCACATTTTATCAGGAGAATGAAAATATGACATTTCTTGTAACTTAGTGCTGGGTGGAAGCAAGTCCCCAACCCCCACGAATGTTTTAAGGCTTCTATCCTGCCTCATGCTGGCTCCCGCCCTCCTGCAGCGCTGGGCTCAGCCACCTCAATCAGGCAGGTGACGACACGCTTTGAGAAGCCAAGTTGGTGACATTTCCTTGGTGGAACTGGGGCAGTGTGCTCCTTGCTCAAGTGGCAACCTGCAGGAAAGGCCAAGCAACAGATCCAGCTCCCTGGGCAGGGGCCAGGGCGGCAGCAGAGGGCCCCTCCCCTCCAGATGGGCTACTGCCCATGTGGCTGAGAGAATGATTAGCTGTGAGATGCCCTTCAAGGAGGAGACAGCAGCGCTGAATCAGACTCCGCCTGGGTTATCAAGGAGCAAGCAGCAGCCTTGCAAGACTCCCTCTGCCTTCCAGAAGTTTCGTCTGCCTTTTCCCATCTTTGTTGCTGTGAATGTGTTGATGTGGCATACTGTGGAGTCGAAACTGACTTATATCTGACCCTCCAGCAGATTTACAGGGACTGGAAATTGTGTAAGATGTGATTTCTTTCTTCCTCAGAGTAGTAGCAAGTGGATTCAAACTGTGTGCCTTTGGGTTGGCAGTGCAACTTCTTAACCCTAAGCCAGCAAGATGTATTTAGAAATTCTGAACTTCAGCAGTGAAAACATTGTGGAAATTAGGCTTTGATCATTTAAATGTCGGGAAGAAGTTCATTTTCTAATGGCTAATGGCTCAGGAAGGCACTCTCCAAGCTCACTGACTAAAGCATTCAGTTAAACAGAAGTTCAGCAGTTTGAGCCCACCAGCTGAGCTGTAGGACAAAGGCTTGCCAGGTACTTCCTTAAAGATTTCCCACCTTAGGAACCTGATGGGACAGTTCTCCTCTGTCCTGCAGGCTGGCAGTGACTCGGAATCAATGCCATGGTAGTGGCTTAGTGGGTGGAGGAACCCTGGAGGAGCCTGGGCAGCATAAATAGTTTATGATCATCTCTTAATATAAAGGCTGTAGTTTGATCTCAGCCAGAGCCTTTGCAGAAGGAAAGTCTGCAAACTGCTTCCATAAAGACGGATGTTGTCATTAGGTGCCATTGAGTCCATTGCAACTCATAGTGATTCAATGTATAATAGAAAGAAGTGCTCCTCCATCCTAGGCCATCCTCACAATAAAGGGTAGGGTGTTTGAGCTCATTCTTACAGCGACTGTGTCAGCCCATGTGTTTGGGCTCCTCCACTTTCAGTGGCCCTCAGTTTGACCAACCATGTTGTCCTGTTGTTATCGTTAGGTGCTGTTGAGTTGACCACCACTCATTGTGGCCCTAGGAACAACAGACGTAAGCCTTGCCCAATCCCACACCATCCCCAGGACTCCCCCGGCACATTCATGCCTGTCACTGCACTCACTGTGCCATGCCATCCCACTGAGGCTACTCCTCTCTTGCACTGACCATCTGCTTTGCCCATTATGTCTTTTTCTAGGGCTGGCCCCTCCTGACAACATGCCCAGAGTATGTGAGACAGAGGTAAACCATCTTTGCCCCTAAGAAGCACAACTGCCACACTCCCTACAGACAGACTCGTGTGTTCTTTTGACAGTCCATGGTGTAGGCAGCACTCTTCACCAGCACCTCAGTTCAAAGGCATTGATTGCTCTTTGGTCTTCCATATTCAATATCCAACTTTCTTATGCATAGGAAGCAATTTAAAATCCCATGGATTGGATCAGGTCCACCTTGGTCTTTAAACTGATATCTTTGCTTTAAAGAAACCCCTGACAGTCTTTTGGTTTCTTCACTGCTTCTACTTAAGGTGTTGATTAGGGACCCAAGTAAAATGACTGGAAACTTCAGTCTTTTCTCAATCAATGTTGCCTGCCTCTGGGTCCAGTGGCAGGGATTTCTGTTTTCTTTATATTGATTATGTGATCCATATTGAAGGCTGTAGTCTTTGATCACCTTCAGTAAGTTCTTCAAGTCCTACTCACTTTCTGCAAGCAAGGTTCTCATCTGCATAATGTATGTTGTTGGTGAGTCTTCCTCCATTCCTGCTGCTGTATTCTTCTTTGTACCATCCAGTTTCCTGAACTATATATACAGGTCGAATATTTGTGGAGAAAGTAAGCAACTTTGAAGCATGCATTTCCTGATCTAAAACCATGCAGTATTCCCTTGTTCTATTCAAACAACTGCTTCTTTTGTCTGTGTATCTGTTTTGCATGAACACAATGAAATTCCCCTTCTTCTCAGTGTTATGCACAATTTATCATTATCCACATAGTCAAATGCTTCTGCAAAGTCAATAAAATATAAGAAAATATGGCAGTGGCATCTTATTATATCCAAGAAAACTCTGCAGCAGTTCTATTCTGTAACACATAGAGTTGCCATGAATAGACCTGAGGCAGATGACCACAACAGAAACGCAACCATCTTTTTCCTACTAGTTGCACTGTTTCAGGCACATTCTCCAAGCCCAGAGCTTTCATCTGTATAATGCTTATATAGTAGGATTACACTCTCTCATTGTTGTTGTGGGCTCATGGATGACCCTGTAGTGAGCTTACAAGGCTTGTAAATCACACAGGAGGTGACTGCCCATCTTTGGCCCTCAGAGGAGCTGGTGGATTCACACCACCAGAGAAGACTGGCCTTTGCATTAGCAGTGAAGCCAGTTGTTAAATGAAGGGATACATACAAGGGGCTGTTTGCATCATTTCATCTTACATATTGTGTAGCTGATTAAAGGATTGTCAACTCCAATCCATCAGGCTTTTGTGGGGGAAAAGATGAGGCAATCAGCTCCAGTGAAGATTTATAGCTCTAGAAATCCAGTGAAGGGCTGCCGTGAATCAAGCTCAATGGCGGTGAGTTATCAGTCTACAGGAAGTGCTTAAGCTGCCTCTAGTATTTCTCACTTTATCTTCTTCTGAGTTGACATAGTTGATAAAACTCATGTCTGCTGTAAGTTTTTCTTGCACAGCAGATACAAATTATGACTTCTTGTTGCTGTTGAGTAATCTTATTTCCTGTCGCAAGTCTCACATATCAATAGGATCTGGAAGTTAAGACCATATAAGCATCCTCTTATGTGTTTGTCTCGATGTCTTTCTGACCATGATTATTTATATTGTTCCCAGATCTTTGCTGCTAAGGATGATGTGAGTGCTGATAAGCTTATTTTTACGTGATCTTAACACCACCTAATTGTGGGGTGGTTTTATTTAATGAGACACATTCATAAAAATTAACCAAGAATTTGGGGGGTTATCTGTTATCTTTTGTCTCTTTGGCTACAGCAAATGCCTTTCCTATGAAAGATGCAAAAGCAAAACCTCAGATGGTGCCCAGCTACCATCATTGAACATTTTGTAGAAGATTCTGTAGAAGAATCAAAAGAGGGGAAATGCAGAACAGAATTTAGAATTCTCATGGAATCTAGACTTTGTAAATGACACTCATAAAGTTGCATGAACCCCTGAAACAATTGCCCAGAAATCATCTTTAAGTCAAGAATATTCCCTGAAGTCATTAATGCAACAACAGTTTCATTTAACTTGTGAAGGACGTCTGCTTTAAACACTATGCTTATAAATCTGTCTGTATAGATCTCAATTGGCAACAGCAACACAAAAAAATGAGATAAGAAACTTAACAGGTAGTGAGATTTAGTTAATGGGAGAGGAACAATGCTGAAAATGAGGCTGTGAAGGATTGCCCAACTTGAAAAATATAATCAGTGTTACTGAATTGCACACATAGAAAATTGTTGAAATGGTGTATATTGTTATGTATATTCTCAACAACAACAAAAGCTAAATACATTTAAAAAAAAAGTAAAGGAACCTCTGTCCCAGCCTCAGTCAGCCAAGGAGGAAGTGACTCAACATACTTCTATGTTCCTGTCTCCTCTCTTGTAGAAAGTCTGCACCAAGTGTGGGATCGAGGCCTCCCCCGGCCAGAAGCGGCCCCTGTGGCTGTGCAAGATCTGCAGTGAACAGAGAGAGGTAGAGTGCAGCCCTGTGCGTCACGGGATGGAGGCTGGGCCGAGGCTTGCTCATGGGGATGTGAATGGCTGTTGACTGGGAGAGTTTCTGCCTAAGTCAAGAAGAACTGCAGGAGGGAGGCAGGGACAAGAGTCTGCAGGGAACAGCTCCCTGGCTTACCCATTTCCCCTGTGCAGAGGGGGCACCAGGCCCTGGTTCTGCTGTTTGTGGGGGTCTGGCTTTTAGTGGGAACCCCATCCCACTGTCAATGTGTGTATATGTAACATTTAGTGGTAGTTCAACAAGATAGATTGACAGTGACTGATACAATGGGCTCCTGCGTATCAGAGACGGTAAGGATGGCACAGGACAGGGCAGGGTTCATGTCTGTTCTTCATAGGGTCATTGTGAGTCACAGTCAACTGGAGGGGTCCTAACAACAGCAGCAACACTGTTCTAATACAGGCAGCTCTGATGGTATAATCCGTAGGGAGTCAAGATTTAACCCAAGGACCATGCTGCTCTGGCAGTTCAAATCCACCAGCTTCTCTGAGCGAGAAAGATGAGGAGTCTCCTCTCATGGGATTTATAGTCTAGGGAATCTAATGGAAGGTTAGCTATAAGTCGATTCCAATTCAGTGACAGTAAATTTGAGTTTGAGTTTACTGTTACAGTACTGGGAGTCCTTGTGGCTTGTCCATAGCAAGTTGTGCTGTGAGTCTCCTGCGGTTCGAATCCACCATCAGCTCTGCCAGGAAAAGATGGACAGTCTCCTCCCCTTGGGATTTACAGCCTCAGTAACCCCATGAAGGGTCACTCTGAGCCGGAACTGACTTGACAGTAAGGAGTTTGAGAGTGTTGGTTGTTACAATAATCGTAACCACTGCCCTGAGTTGAACCTTGACTGTTTCTGGCATTGCACCACTTTTTTCTTCCTTGCATGTATTATTTCATTCTCACATTAACCTCATGAACATACTCAAAAGCAAAACAAAAACAAAGTCCATCTCTGAGAAGAGGCGCCTCCTCTGCTCAGGAATCATACCTGAACAGCTCCCACCCTCACCCCGGCTTCCCAAAGCCTTTTCCAATGTCTGCTATGCCTGGTTGCACTTCAAACCCTCGGCTGGACATTAGGAGATGGAAATTGCAACCCCAGGCTTAAGTCTGAGTTGCAATTTCTTCCCCTAAAACAGAATCAGAATTAGATTTTGGAGGCTGTAAGTCACACGGTAGTAGATAGCCCATCATTTCCGTTTGGGCCACTGGTAGGTTCTACTGCCAGAGAAGCACTACCTTTAGGTGTACAGCTCCCTCCAGCTAACTTACCAGAGCCCCTCATTAACCTCATAGGTGGGCCTTTTTCCTGTTGAGGCAATGGAGATACAGCAGTTGAGAAACATGTGAACATCAGAAGTCAAATGCAGCCATGGTCTGCTGTGATCATGATAATACCACCTCCTTTGTATCTTCTGCTGCTAATTTAAAAAACAAAAGAAGAAAAAAAAACCAACCCCAAACAAAACCACACACAGAGCTGTTACCACTAAATCCATTTCAACTCATGATTGAAATGTGTGTCATGGGGTAGAACTAGGCTGCAGAGTTCTAAGTGTCTGTATTTTTGAAAGTAGGTCACCAGATCTTTCTTCTAAGTCACCTCTGGGTGGATTCAAACTGCCAGCCTTTCAATTAGTAGCCAAGAACTTAATTGTCTTCATCTCCCAGGGACAGTAGCTTCTGTTGCTAATTCTGTCCTATGCTATGATTGTAATGCTGACTCTTTTAGGGGAGACAACTATTACTCACACTCAGTCAGTAGCAGAAGGAGGCCAGAACTTCTAGCCCAGAGGCCACCAGGTTAGACATGGAACCAGCTGATAGCAGGCCACTAGCCACCAGCTCTTGGGACTGAGGGAACTGGGAGTGAACGTGTAGGCGGGAGCAGTTGGGCTGAGGCAGCTTGCTCCTTTCCAGATATGGACTGGTTTTTGGTTTTCAGTCTTACTTGGTACTCTGTATGTAATTTTAATCTGAAGATCTTTAAAATGTTTTCAGTAGTGAAAAATACTTAGCCATGAAGTTCTTTTTTAAATTTTATATTGCTTTACTTACAAAGTTCATATACGTTGTGTTTCACACTATTCTTCATTCACACTATGTTTCATACAATCATTCCTGTGCATTATGTTATAAAAGTAATCACCGTTGGACCTTGCCCATCATTACTGTGTCTTTTCAGGTCCCTGCTGGATCCTTCCCATTTCCTTTACCCGCTGCCCTCACCTACCACACTGTGTAACCCTGTAGTTTCACCCCTATCATCCCCTTAGGTCCCCAGACATGTTTTACTAGTTATCCTTCTATTTCAACAAACTGGTCTTATGCAAGTATTTGTCCTATGAGACGGGATTAGTTCCCTTAGTGTAATGCTCTCCAGTTCCTCCCAAGTTATATAGTATTTTTCAAAATGGTTGCTCCTGAGTTCTGTATAGCATTCCACTGTGTGAATGTACGACAATTTCTCATTTCATTCAGTTGTGGTTGGACATTTGGGCTGTTTCCATGTTCTTGCAATGGTGAATAATGTTGCTATAAGCATTGGTGTGCAGATCTCCAGTTGGTCTCAGTTCTAATTTCCTCGAGGTATATTCCTAATAGTGGAATAGCTGGGTCATATGGAGTTTCTTTGTTCAGCTTTTTGAGGAAACGCCAAACTGCCTTCCAGAGTGGTTGTATTGTTTTACAATCCTACCAACAGTGTGTATGAGCTCCCACACCTCCACATCCTCTCCAACATTTATTGCTTGCTGTCCTAATAAATTTTGCCACTGTTTTCTGGGTAAAATCATTCTTTGAACCTATCTCCCATTGGTGAACTTTGTTGGTTGTCTTTCTTAGTGATTTTTCCTTGGGAATTTTGGAGTTTGTTTGTGCACTTGTCTTGAGTGAGGCCCTATTCTCTCATTCTTTCCCTTTCCCTCCCTGTTACTCTCCTCTCACCCAGCTCTCCTTGGTGAACGTGTTGCTTCCACTTACCCCCTGACTCCCCCAGTGCAGAGCTACACACCTTGGGTTGCTGGTGAGCTGTTTGTGGTGACCATGGGATTTTCCCTAGAGTCAACTGTCAAAGCCGTGAGCAGCCTCACTCAGACCCTGGCTGTGTGTGCTGCTTCCAGCTTTCCTCAGCAGGGAGCACAGTTCTGCACTGACACCCCAGGAGTTGCCTTGAACCAGAATCAATTCAGGACATTCTGGACCAAGCCTACTCCAACTTCAAGATCCTGAAGGACAGAGCAGAATACCCACACAGGGTGGCAATTACAGATCACAGACTGCTGCTTTTATTCTCCTAAGAAGCAACTAGCAGATTCAAACCACCGACCTTTTGCGTGGAAACATCCAAACCTTTTGCTCTGAAAAGTCCAGAACCACTTAGGAGGAACTTTCTTATCTTTCTTACAGCAAGGAATGGATGCTGGACATTGCACTATCAGTTTGCCCTTGACTTTTCAAACGCGATCAAATTTAGCAGGATGAGGACTGCGGGTGCCCCTGGCAAGCAGCCCAGGGTGCACTGCAGACATCGAGTGTGTGTGCATGGGGTTGTGGAAGTGCACATGGGGGTGAGTCTGGTGTCTGCAGATCCCACACCAGGAGCTGGGTTTCCGTGCCCTCTTCTGGAGTCTGGGAGTGACAGAGTAATTGGTTTTTAATGCCTCCCCCGCCCCTTAAAAAAATACCTAACCACAACATAAAGGCAGATAAATAGAACAAGCATTTAAAATGTCAGGTTTTAAGTGCCACATGTGGCTGTTTCTAGGTCTTGTGATAAAAATTTGGAGTCCTGCCCTGCAGGAAAAGCCAGGCCCTAATGAAAGAACTTGAATTTTCTGATGGAACCTCTTGTACCACTTTGCCCAAGCACCCTTATCTTCCTTTCCTTTTGGGGCTTCACTTCCATCATCTCTGGCTGTAATTATAAGTATTTTTTCTGGAGTGAGTCAAACGCTAGTTGAATGTCCCTGGGGCTGTCAGATTGGCACTGACGGCTGGTTGTGCGCACGTTAATGGTGCTGCCATGAGAGACTCGATCCTTCTGTACTTGAGGCGTTTACAGCCAAATGCATTCATTTATGAAGGCAGTCACCGTATATTTGTTGAGCATCTTTTATGTGCCCAGCAAAGCAGCCCTTCTGGAAGACACAACCAGTAAATTCATTTCTGCAGTGTCATAGAGGATGGCAAAATGTTTAGGAAAGGGAGATGAAGTATTGGGAGTAGGGAAGGTGGTTGGTGTTTTATATCTGAATTTGAGAAGGGCTCACTGCTAGAAAGACATTGGAACAGAAACGTGAACGAAGCATGATATCTGGGTCCAGGTAGGAGGAAAACATACCAGGTCAAGGCCACAGCAAGTGCAAAGGCCCTGAGGCAAGTAGATGCTTGGTAGGTTTGAAGAACAGAAAGGAGATCAGTCTGGCTGGAGTCAGGTCAGATTGGGAAGGGAGGAGATCAGAGATAGAGGCAAAGGGTGAGATTTCTGTTGGTCCTTGTAGGCCATTTGTAAGGCTTGGATGTTAGTGAATTGGAAGATCTTAAGTAGAGGAGAGATGTGATCTGACTGCCCTCCCTTCTTTAAAGTCTCACTCTGGTTGCTGTGTTGAGAATAAATTATAGACTATAATGTCAAAGTCACCTACTGCTTTCTTTGTCTTATTTAACATTATTTGAGATATTTTAACTAAGTTCTGTTATTTCATTTAGATGCTTTCATAAGAATTTATATACATTTCACTATTAAGATTAATAAAGTTAACATGTTCATTGATGAACATTTGTAATGTGTAGGAAAGTATAAAGCAATACATACATACACATATACACAAATTCTTAATCTTACAATAAGAGACAGTCGCTGTTAACATTTTTTTTTTCTGAGTCATTTTAAAATTTCTACTGTTGAATCTGCTTTTTAAAATTAACACTACATCACAGATAATCCTACTGTAATCAAGAAT